CGACGAGGACTATTCAGGTGACTATAGCGATGGGATACCACTTTAAATCAGAGTGGCAAGAACCGCATACAAATTTTCATATCGAGTAGCTACAACGATTACAGCATTTTACTGGAACAAATACAAGGTGATTGTGTGATCAAGTACACAACGGGTGCGCAAGGAAATGTCGAAAACTCACAGATACAACTATACGATGTATCCATGATATACAAGGTATAGGTGTCCAAGAGTTTATAACTACAAATATTCTGTAACTCGAATAGTTATACGTGGTCGTGAAAGTCAGACTATTTCAAGACCAATCCGTAGACATGAAAAGCATATTAGAGTTGTGTAGTGTAAACAAAGCACTAAAATTCAAGCTTGTATTACATGTTATCTTCTCTCACTTGTGTTTCAATATGAGCTTTATTCGATAGCATCACATTGAGGTCTATAAGACACGTAAATGCCACAAGTGCGTTTAAACAGCCCCACTACGTACCCTTTTCCGCAATTGGTACGCAGTTGATACTCCGACTACCCCCCCCACCCACCACAACAACATGCTGTACATTCCGCTGACTCCTATTTTCTCTCTGTATGTTTAAGCGTTGCTTCAGACTTCTATCGTAAACGAAAGCTCCGGTGCCCGCGACAGTTGCGAAAGTGAGCGTTCGCTTCAATAGTAACAGCCGCGCCATGCTATGATACCCTGGAGTAATGATTATGAGTGTATGTCTCAGGGTAGTTTGAGTGATTCAAATTCCAGCGAAAAGGTAGGTGTATCATAAACATAGGCTAAAGAAACATGCACCACATGAAAAAAGGCTGAAAAGGTGTATACGTACTGTCATACATGCATCGGTGAGTGCTGGAGAAATAGATTGAGATATACTATTCACTGCATGCTGCATCACGGAAGGCAAAGTTGACAAGATACGTGTATGTAAATATCATTAAAAACTTAGATGTCAGATGAACCTCTCCCTCACTCGCACTCTACTAGTAGAGGAGAGAGAGTATAGTCAATATTTAGTAGCTGTAGTAGAGCATAGCCAAGAGCCATCTGATATTTAACAATAGAGACAACAAGAGAAGAGTATATCTATATATTTTTAAAAGAAAAATATGAGTATTCAGAGACCACTCCTCTCCCTCTCTCTACTATTTATAGTACTATGTAGTCTTCTACCAAAATATTTAAATCTGTAATTATATCCATTTTTGTATAATAAATATGAACACTGAAAAGCAAAAAACAAAGATCGGTCCCGATCGTAAATAGTGAGAGCGAATGAAAAGGGCTAATGTAATGCGCCAAATGCATCAAACCCAATCATTTGCAAAATGAAAATATTCTAAAATTCGTATGGAGCCCTCAAAGCCCCCAATATGTATTAAAAAATACATATGTGCCCAGAGCCACTTCACCGGTCGTACTTCGTATTATTCCATCGATTGTAGTTGTCGTCAATATTTACTCTAACGTACTGGATAGCAAACTACTTGTTATGGTATGCGGAAATTTTCAAAGTATTGTCCTTCGAACAATAGTCCGATCAGGTATATTATTTTTATTTCTTCCCTAGAGGGTCATGAAGTATTTTAAGTCTTCCATTATTACTACTAAATTGAACATATCGTCGTAACACGGTACTGTGTATCCGATATAAAATTCACTTTTCAGAAAACACAATGCTATGTTGTCATAGTCTATGAGTCAAAGTTAAACTCTTTATTCTATCTTCTGCAACCGAGGTCTTACTATCCGTCCGGACCCGGCCCATCTCGTATTTTGCTTGAACATTGTCCCAGTTGCTGAAATTTGTGCCAGCTACCAAGAAGGCATACTACAACCGATTTTGAAATGGAGTGTCGCATGGAGCCAAACTACGATTCACCTATGGTTTTCTCGTGCCCCAGTACACTCTATTAAGATCTTAGCAAGCATTGGCCATGAATAACCACACCTTCTGATATGTGATTATAAACTACCGACAGGGAATGATGTTCATGCTGTCTTAGAACCCTGATTTTACGACTATTGACATATCACATACGGTGCCATTTATTGATCCCCAATTCGCGAGTATGCGTAGTATAACTGCGTGCTGATGGGACTAGATACATAGATTTTTACTCGACGGGTATAAGACAGTTAAGCCTGTTTATTTCTATTTGACTTCATCACGAAGATAAGCTCGCCGACTTCTCAGCCGTATTTGTGCTTAGCCTAAATATTCCATATACTCGTGTTCATAATTTGCGCGCTTACAGCCACACATCATGCTCGTAACAACCCCATCAATTAACTACACGTCGACATCTCCCACCTGTTAACCACATCCAGCGTAGGCCATAATTGCATGCAATATGATGCTGCAGCCCCTGCATGTCGACAATGGCGAGACTAGTCAAACAGTGTGACCTGATACTGTGGTGCAGAATGGCTTGATATCCCCAAAGCATCGATCTGCTCCTTTATCCTGGACGGCCGATTTCAGCTGTGGCGTTCCATCAAATGACTTCAAGTACGCGACACCCAGTAGTTTGTGACCCAGGATCGTCTACCGATGCACTAATGACATGTATGATTTTGTACCGGTCGTAAGCCAGTAGGCTTATCAAGTAGCCACAGAGCGCATCACTTCAGTCACAAACCGTCTGCCCTGTCTGTGAGATACAAAACAACACATGCCGATCGATTCGATAATGCAGTTGCCGATCAGACAGTGATGTGCTTCTAAATCTTCAGATCCCACACATCCTGCATATGATCCTACTTATCCTACATGTGACATTCAATTCACATGTAATTAGTACCGGTCATAAGCTCATCTCAACACAGAAGTTTGTCAACCCTGGACAAGCAAGGGCAAGGCGCACGATCTGTGTGGATACTCGGCATTTTGTTCTCCGCGGACACTCTCCAGCATGGTTGTCACCCACACAGCAATTCATTGATAAAGGTATATTGCCCTTTCAAACCCGGTGCCGGAGCTGTGCCGCATCGCGTACATAGTTTCAGGTCTACGACGCCATGCGCTTGGATACGCATGCTACAAAGCCATAGTAAACAGCAACGACACACCACACGCATTGACCCTCAACTGTAGACTCCCGGCAAACGCTCGAACAGCCTGTAATAGATACTAACAAAGGGAATATACACTGCAATGCATATTCAGCCACTCAGCTTCCACGGGAAGTCTCCAGCAAACTCCTGCACACCCGGCGCCAGGTACTTCTGTAGCACAGCCTGGGCTTCAGCGGAGGTCTCAGACGCGATGCGTACGATAGCACCGTCCTTGCCCCACGGGGTCACGCTTAAGAGCATCGTGGGAGAGATCATGGGTGGCTGTGTATACGTGCGCCATGTAGTAGGAAATATAGAGGACATTGCTGGCGGTTGGTGGGTGATCAGGAAGTATTTGAATGTGCTTGATATAGGTTACCAGTATAGAATATGAACCGTTTAAGTGAATACTACCTGTTATAAAAGAACGATGGTGCATTGAATGATAGCAACTTGCTGTTGCAGAAATGAACGTTTTGTGAGTGAAGTTTGTAGCGGTTATAAATTTATAGGTGACTGGTGAGCACTCCGTGATTTATGGCTACTGCCTGTGATTAAAAAATACAACACGTTCGAGACACAAAAATCAAAAAATCAAAATGTCAAACTACTGTTGTCACTCTACCGGCAGCAACACAAAGTCCAGGGCATAGCTGAATGATATTCGAAACTGGCCCTGTAAATCCAACCGTGATTCGCATTTAGTGGGTAAAGGATTCTCTAACACACAAGAACCCGATTCAGCATTACAGTTGACCACCCCTAAGAAGTGTCACAGAAGCATGTTAATATCCATTGAATATCATACCTTTCCAGGCTTTGCAACCTCATTGTCTTCGGGTGCGCATGCGGTGTTGAAGCTGGTGATGATTGTCTGGGCGTTGGGGCCCAACAGCAGAAGCACACCATAGCATCTGCCACCACCGAAAACAGTACATGGGTTTGTTTGACAAGGGATGAGATATAGATAGGTTCGTATATCACTTTCCCAGGAGAATACATGTTCAGGAACTACGAGCTATTGACTTCGGTTCAAAAGCATTGGGACTTTGAGTCGACAATCACCTCACACAGAGTGTGACGGCGTCTGTGAAAGTGAGGGACGTGTCAGATTGAGCAGCACTGGTACTGTGTCCGTGATTAAGTCTTACATTCAATGTATAGGCTGATTACAAACAATAACAGAACACACGCTCTATGCAAACCTTCCACATGGTAGGACTAGCATATATTATATCACTCGCGCATATACTTTTAACACGCACACATCATCAAATCCGCTTAGCTCTATTATGGCACAAACAGTTCTCAGGGACTATACAAACAGACACACAGCACATACGCGAAGGCACCCATCCGGTCGGCCACACTAGGAAGACCGAGATCTTCGTTGTTTTCCAAGGCGAGGCACTCCCGCATAACAAGGCGTCTTCTAGGTCCTTGTCGTAGCTGTACGTAACAGTTTGTATGTGGAGATTAGATGGAGATATAAGAATTTGGTTTGCGAACATAAGGTTTTGAGTGGATAGGTGACACAGCGGATGTATTTTCCCTTGATTGCACACTTCACAGAAACTGTAGAATAGCAATTGATACTCCGCTTACGCATCAGACTTAGAGTCTAGTACGGTCGGTTAGATCGCTGGCTTCAACCGTAGTAACGGACACATACCTCATTGAATGAGCTCATTGTGTCGAAAGCCCAATGCTCCCCACGCCTCATTCGGCCACTCGTGAACCAGTCCTGTGAGAGATAGGACAGGGCATGACAAGCATCCATAATTAGTGCTGAACAAAAATCCTGTACGCAACTGCCAACCCTATCGCAAACGGTCACGAAATGGCGAAGGCATATGCAGACGACTGTCATTGGTCGGCGCTTGAGATTTCAGTCAGCACAGTGTACACCGGCGTGATGACGGAATACGCGTGATGACGGAATACGTGTGATAACGGAATACGCGTGATGACGGAATACGCGTGATGACGGAAGATGATGACTGAATACGCGTGAAGGCGAGATTAACTATCGGGGCTGCGAAGAGTGGCTGGGTGCGTAGGTCAACACTTCTATTGACGCAATGATTCAAGTGGGTTATTGGACAGGGCACGCACGGCCAGCTTTGATGGGGGCATTCGCACCTAAGCGATGGGAGCTATTCTCAGATATACTTCCTACTGCTGTTCACGATGTGAGATCTCGCGGAGTAGAGTTGACTCCAGAATGATAGTGATAGACGGGTCACTTACTCTCTTGAATGGCCATATGGGATTCAAAACGAGCGCTCATCAGTCTTGTTATTTGCAATTGCACCCTTAGTGGATAGGACACCACGACACAAGAAACGGTTTATAACGGAAATACACCGTACGCGGTTATAAATCATACCGATTGATACAAACAGCAGACAATCATTGATCTTGAAACTACGGATAACACTCTCGGGTGAAAGACCTACCAGTAAAATGATAGACGCAGAATCGTCCGCCATGTGCACCTCTTGTCGTTGGACGTACTTTGCATTCTAGTGTGACATTTGGCAAGAAATCATAAAACAGGGCGGTTTGCATGTTAGTTTGTTTGAAAACTACAGCCACTAAATTTCGGGGTTGTGACAAGAGTAGCGCAAATCCATCCAGGGCCGCTTGAAGAACACGATGGACAATAAATATAGAACCACACTCAATTCAAAGAGGAGATATCTGCATGTCTTCCACCCATTAGAAGAGTGCCAATAGCAAAAGATTATAATTGTAATATGCATAATAACTTGTTTCTCAGATACGGGGATCTAAGGCAGGATAAGGTAAAGCCTCTCTCCTCTATGACATTCGACCCGTCCGGCACAAAGATGGCACACTGGCAGGATGATGTGCGTTGAGATGTTATATAATTGAACAGTTGGTACGGAATCCACCATCAGCCGCACAGGTCCAAAGTAAAATAAAATAAACGAGGGCTTCAAAGTGTGGATAGGTAAGCATTCTCAGGACCCGAGCTCACAAAGTGCAAACTGTTTAGCGCTAAGAAAAAAATATCATAGTTCAACTTGAAAAACTTACCATAGTTCAACATGAAAAACTTACCATAGTTCAACATGAAAAACTCACCATAGTTCAACATAAACATACCATAGTTCGACATGAAAAACTTACCATAGTTCAGCATGAAAAACTTACCATAATTCAACATCGTTGCACAGTCACACTGTCTTCAGAAAACACGATTCACTGCCTCTCTCACCCCTGAACACATTCAATCCCATGCAACACGCACAGAAACAATTCTATGCTGGAAAGATTCTCGAATCGTGAAGACCTTTCGCCAAAGAATGTGTAATTGAAGTAGGAGTATGTACCGCTTAGATGTAAGTACCTTATAAGCTGTGACGGGATGGGGGAGCCAACATAGTGTTGCATTCTTCGCCACGTTGAACACCATGGTATTCAATACAGGGGTACTAAGATTCGACTTGAATATATTCGTATTCCCCTGCAAGTATTGCGATAAACAAAATTATGAGCTATTCGGGGAGTCACAAATATAAGCCTCGTGCTCGTTCGCTGAATTTCGCTACGGGTTCGGTGAGTGAAGTGAATAGATGTCTCAACGACTACAGGCTAGTAAAACCCACACGGATGCATGAATACAAAATGCCACTTTACTATCTACATGTGTAACTATGATAACCCAATGATTAGAGCTATATCATTAGTGCCTAGTTTACTAAAATAGTACAATGGAATGGAGGTAAAAGCAGTACAGATAGCTTCACTCTTATCGCTCTCTCAATGTGTATAACATGTGTTCTGGATGTCAAAGAACAGCAGAGTATCCTGAATCCGAACCATCAGGTATAGCAAATATGAATGCAGCGACAAAATTGTAAACGAAACTGTAATAGTAACATGACTTAAGTTCGTATACAACGCTCGGACACCAAGCCATCGTGAACACTATAGGTACCGAGATTTTGAGGGGATATATACGCATCTAAACATC